ACTGGAAACCGGTCACCAATGGAAAGCGGTTTTTACACACCACCCGTTGTCTTACGGGTCAGGCTTTGGTTAGCCGACGGCTGCGGCTGTAGACACTAAGAAAATTCACCTGCTTTGGCCTGGGAAACCTGGTGGCATTGTGCAAATCATGGACCTTCTACTGTTGTCTTAAGATTAATCTGTCTTGATTTGTTTGGCGNTTGGCGCACGGTTTGTACTCAGACGTATTTTAAAAGATATACATAACCGTTAAAGAGTAAAATGTTACAAGATTGGGTTGGCCCAGTCCTAAACTTTACTCGAACCCGGGAAGAAGTGGAGACAGTAGAATATTTTTGTTTGGGCAGCTATATCGCATCTGGTGGACGCATCACAGATGAAGTGTTAGCAAGCATATAGAAGGCTTGGTGAAACTTGCCGACTTGAAACATCTTCGGCGACTTCGCGACATCCGGCTGACTGTAGAGCTAAGCGCGTGCTGAAGCAGTTCGGCCAGTTCTGACTTACGTTGCGGAAACTTGATCACTACGGGAAAAGGATAAAGATAGTTTGTCGGTGCTCGAACACCGCTGTCTACGCAGTATTGCATGACTATGGTGAGGAAACCGTACCAGCAATACCGAGAGTTGGAGCAGTCTTAGGTAACCGCAGTCGCCCACTGTCGACCTCCATAGATTATCCTGGTTGGGATGTGTTGCGTATGTCACCAGATAGGTTGCCACGGTGATCGATGTTTGTCGAGGCGGGTAGTGAATGGAAAAAGGTCAAGGGTGGTAATACTTGGCATGAGGGTATGGAAACCCTAACGAAGAAACTGTCACACAGGTCTCGTTAGGCTCCCTGGATGAGGACGCCGGGATCATGGCAACCAGTGGTTGGAAGCATTGAGTGATATGGCTGAGTGCGGCAAACAATGGAGGGCGCGTATCTACTAATTATTCTTGAAGCCTCAGTCTTTATGAATTCCCTATTTTCTCCTTGATTCTGCTCTTGACATTGCATTCTTCTGCTCTGTCATCCAAACGGGCAACCAAACTGGCGCATGAAAATGTATGGGGCGACTTTGGCCTAGAATTGCAGTTGGAATTCCCGGGAGGAACAACAACCGCATTCGGGGACGTGCACTGACGCTCCGCAAGAAGCAGTCAGACGGTCTATCGCTGATCTATCGTCTGTCAAGGAGGGTGACAAATCTCTGGAATGCGCTTCCGGAGGACGTGGTGGAAGAGCCAAACGATAGCATCTTTAAGCTAAAACTCGACAGAGCTATGCAGGAGCATTGGTCTGGTACGAACACCTAATCAGCCCAGTGGAGCACAATGAGATGGGGTTAATACGGGACCTCCAACTGCCCTTAACACTTGAAGACTTGGTTGTGAAAACTGAAATAAACAGGATCTTTTATAAGTTTCATTTTTCAAATGTGATATGTGCAGCTCATCAATCATAATTGTTAATGTATTACCTACAATCTATCCATATAGCTAGATATATATGAATGTGATGAGTACTTTTCTACAATAGCGGTTTCAGGGAAGCACAAGACTCACTGGGAGATGTTCTCAATAGTTGACGGTTCAATCGCAATTTTTTGTCTACATCCGCAGGATATAATATCAGCAAAATAGAATCTTACTTTCCCCATAAAGT